ACAGGTGAGCAGCTAATACCAATTTTAAAAAATGATTAAAATATTGTTCCGGCAACGTTTGATAAAAAATAATATAACCAAATAGTAGTAAAACTCTCAACTCATTTGATTTGAATTTTTTCCAGTTGGCCAATGTTCTTGGTATGCGGTAGGTGGTAGATGGATATTTGAATGATTGAAATTTTATGATCAGTTCTTTCAAATAATAATAGCAAGAATATTCGTTCGTTCGATAATCGTATGACAGCCACATTTTGACCAAACGTTTCTAAACTGAAGATACTATTTCTTAGCCGTTTATCATTCAAAATCACTCTATAATTTTTTTCTTCAAACTTGGAAGCTCGAAAGTGCTTTGCTCATTTCTCCTCGACAGTCTAACGCTATATAGCAATTTTGGTATAGCAACAGAAATAGAAGTTGCGAGTAATACTTACAAAAACACCCCCATACAGTGAGTGTAAACTATCGAACACAAACGAAGTACCGAAGTCAAAATACTTTAATTGACGCAAATAACATCTTCCATTAATTCCTTTTTTATTATCCTTGAATATTTGAATTTCTCTTGCCGTCTTGCCGCCCTTTCAACACATGTGTTGAAAGGGCGAATGGAGTTTTGTATGATGCCCTTGGAAAATGGATGTTGGAAAATGATTCTAGTCATTGGTCTGATGATTTGTTGCCCGTTGTTTATGGAATCAATACTCGAGTTTCTAGTACAACAAAATCAACACCATATGAAGTGATGTTTGGCCAATCGCCTCGTTCTGATTCAGAATTAAGGAAGCTTGTTAGTCAAAATGGAATTCTAGATGAAGAAGATCTACCAAGTCCGGTTGTTAGTTTGGATGATGATATCGAAAACTCTGTTGATGTTGTTGACGGTGATGTGAGTGTAATTGTTGAAAAGTTAGCAGAGGAGGCTTCTTCTAATTCGTTATTCGATCTACCCTCACCGGGACCAACAAATGATACAGCTGTTACAGAGAATTATTTTGTAGATAATCTTATATCTTTTGATTCCCCACAAAAAAAACATTGTTGATTCAAATACAAATACAAATGATTTACTCGGTTTTTTAGATGAAACAGACCAAATTATGAAAGGTAATAGTTCGAATTCTGTCTCTTCTGACCCTACTACACAAGCAGCCATAACATTAATAGTGAAACTCTTACTTCCATTTCTAAAGCAAATCCTTCTTCTTTTGATCAGCTTTCACCGTCATCTGAACCTTTTCCTTCTAATTTAACAACGTTATCTTTAACAACAGCAGCAAATTCTGCTGCTTTTTCAGCATCTGTTTCTTCCGTACCACGTCATGGTCTTATACGTAAGAGAGCTACAGATAACTATCTAAAAACAGCAAATAAAAAGATGAAGGCACATGATAATTATCTTGACAATTTGAGTCATAAATTTAATGTAAATGATTGTGTTGGTGTTAAAATACATGAAGCAGATCGTACAAATACAGATGCTAAGCTTTTGCCATGTTTGATTGTTGAAAAAATATCCAAAAATAATTCTGTAATCTTTCGATTAGCATGTCAATATGGCATACTAACGAACACATTCTCACTTGGTGAAGTTATTGATCTGAAATCTGCTTGTCTGAAACCTTTAAAGAAAATAGATGTTGAAGATTTAGAAAATATTACTTTTATCGAAGCCTGTAAGCTTTTTGTTCGTGGCTCCGTTAGCGGAAGTACTTGTGATTGTAAAACAAAGTGTGCTACGAAAAA